GCCATGGCTCACGGGCCCAGCCGCTCCGCGGCATGTGGGATCTTCCCGACCGGATTGCGAACCCGTGTCCCCTGTATCAGCAGGCGGACTTTCAACCACTGCGCCACCAGGGAAGCCCTAGTAAAGGGCTTGAAAGTCCTTTTGAAAGTCTTGAAAGTCTTTTAAATCCTTTAAACTATATGCAACCCAACCTATTAAATTATATGTACCTAATGCATGTAGGAATACAGAATATATCATGAGTACATATACAAAGCATAATTTTACTGATTTTTAAAAAAATTTCTCTATAATAATAGTATAGGGCTTCCCTGATGGCGCAGTGGTTGAGAGTCCGCCTGCTGATGCAAGGGACATGGGTTTGTGCCCTGGTCCGGGAGGATCCCACATGCCGCGGAGCGGCTGCGCCCATGAGCCATGGCCTCTGAGCCTGCATGTCCAGAGGCTGTGCTCCGCAACGGGAGAGGCCACAACAGTGGGAGGCCCGTGTACCGCAAAAAATAAAGAAAGAAAGAAAGAATAATAATAGTATAATTACTGTGATATTGGTAAACTTGCACTTCCTTAAGTTAAATATGCAGTGATGGGACACTCCTGAGTCCAGTAATGCAGATTTATCATCCTTACAGTTTTGAAGGCAAAGCCTTAGTCTTACATATCTTTGAGGGTCCCACAGTTGTTTAGTTCGGGAGAATGGCTAAGCAGTGGTAAGAAGAACGCCATCAATAATGTGGCTTAAAGGACTTGGAAGTCTGTCCCCCGGGTTCCAGTCCAAAGCAAGCACTCCAGGTTAGTTGCAAGTCCCTTCCATCCTGTGGTTCCACCGCTTTCTAGGGCCTGGTCTTCATTTCCATGGTTGAGCCTGGTCACTGCTCAGCATGCCGGCTCCAGCCTGTGGGAGGGCAAAGAGAACACAGAGGAGGCCCCCTGCTGCCTCGTGGACCACAGCCCAGAAGTGGCACCTCTTCCCACATCCCACTGGTGAGGGAACCACATTGCCATACCTAACTGCAAGCCCATCCACTTATACCTCTATTTCCAGGGAAGAAGGGATAATGGATTTCCATGAGTAGTCTCCACTGCCCGTGATGTCCAGCACGCAGCAGTCTCCTAAATACTTTTATAGTCAAAAAAATATATGAAAATAAGTGGTTATTAATAAGTCTAAGCATTTATCTTGTACTTGGAACATCTTGCTCCATATTATATTTTGATTTAAATTTAGCAAGACAAGTTAGTCTAGCAAGTAATCAGGGGTTTGTTAATCATTTATACTGTTTTTAAAAATCTTATCACTACAGAACTACAGAATTAAAATAAGTTCTGTTTTTACAGAAAAGGAGCAGAAGGGATAGGATTGTGACTTTTTTTTCACGCCTACAGTGGCTGCCAATGGGGAATGGCCTGGTTTGTGCACAGGAAGAAATCAGCTGTTTCCAAGAAACTGGCTTTGCAAAATCAACCTCTTCTCAGTCAGAGGCTGTACTGCCTCCCAGGAGAAGTTTGGGAATGCGGAAGGGGACTGGCTTGGGTTGATCAGTCACTAGGATGTGCTCTCTGAGGACAAGGAGAGTAAATGTCCTGCAATGCCCAGGATAGCCCTGCACAAGAATTAGCCTGTTCCAAATGTCAGTGGTTCCCCTATCAATAAACACTGCAGGACTGCCACCCTCACCTTTTCTGGGGTGTTAGCAAATTTTACATTTCCATTTTCTTATACCCAAACAGCTCATCTAAAGGAAAGAAATGCTCTGAGTGCTTTTAAAACAGTATTGCATTTTGCCTATCTTACCCATTCTCTTCTGTTTTCCTTGTTTTTCAGAATGTAAGGCAGGACTCACCCCAATATTTGAAGCACAACTGAGCTTAGCCATCCCAGAATTGGTTTTCTGTCCGTCTCTGGAGCCTGGAGTGAAGGGTGGCTCCTACGACATTGTTGAGGGTCTCATCACCAGCATTTTTAGGATATCGTCCTTGGTTCCGCGGCTTTCCCCTCAAAACGGCTCTCCCCACTATCAGGTACTGGATCTGCAAACATCGTGCCCTCCCATCAGATCTGGAGCCCCCTGTGAAGTGCTAGTGTCACCCGCCTGGTTTTGTCTTGCTCCCCTCGGTTGACTTGGAGGCCATGCCTGATCTGGCAGGCATGCGGGGCGAGCTGATGGGGCGGATGCAGGGCATGATGACCCTCTGCTGCGGCTATCGGAGCACCCTCAGCCAGTATTCCTACCTCTACGTGGAGGACCGGAAGGAGGCTCTGGGCCAGTTTCTGCTATATGGGCATGTGCTCACAGCAGAGGAGATGGAAGCCCATGCTGAGGACGGCATTCCAGAGAACCCGCCCCTGCTCCATCAGTTCAAAGCGCAGATCGACTGCTACGAAAAGCTCCATGAAGACGTGAGCAGGCTGGAGCCCATCCAGGTGTTTGACAGCTGGATGAAGATTGATGTGCGGCCCTTTAAAACGTCTCTGCTGAATATAATTAAGAAGTGGAGCCTCATGTTCAAACAGCACCTTGTGGACTACGTCACTCACAGGTAACACGGTCCTGCCAGCTTCCCGGGCTGTCAGGAACACCATGTTTTTAATCTTCTTCACATTTTTCTCCATAGGTTCTTGGTTAAATTAAAAATTAGAACAGCGGGTTGGAGGTTCCGGGCTTTTGGACACCAGCAGTAACGATAGTCCTGCCCTCTCATTTGTTCATCAGACCTGGCCTCTTTCTGTTTCGTTTTCCATTTGGTGCCCAGTGTGCGAAAGGCACTCAGTAAGTGGTAAATAATGTTAGAGACAGTAATAGCAGATCTAACCTCTCTTCACAGCTCTGACTGTGAAATCTCTTTAAGCCTGAGAAGCAGAGGGGGTCTAATGGGCCTCTTAGATTTTATTTCTCCCACTTACTCCTTGTCTCAGATTATCCAGCTGTGAAGCGCAGAAGCCCCTAAATCTACACACCCCTGATGCCTGCCAGTGCCACTCTAGCTGTGTGACAGATTGGGTATGAAACCCTGTCTGTTCCACCATAGACCTAGACCCCCCAGCCCAGCACCAGGCTCCCTAAGCCAGAACACCAACCTCTAGATAAATAATCAAGTTGGTTAGTAGTCTCCCAGTTACTTCACCTTAGCCTTGTCCTCACAGGTCTACCACAGGCAGAATCTCAGCTCCCAGCCCCTCCCCACAGAATCCTATGGAGTGCCATGGTCCCTCTGTTCAGTGATCAGTCTTTGGTGTATTAGCTGATGCTGCAGGGGAGCCCTCCCCAGAGTTTGGTGCTGGTCTTGCTTGCTGCTCAGTGATGTGGAAGGGAGACAGCCAAGTCGAGAATGCATCTATCTACAAACAAATTCTGAGAGACTTCGCAAGGGTGATGGTTCTCCACTATAGAAAAGCCTCAGAAATCATTTTGGAATGTTTCAAACAGAGCTTTCCAAGTGTTGTTTAAGAAGCAGCAGCCAGTTTCCCACATGAGAGTCAAGAAAGGGAAGCAATGGTGGCAGTTGGGGAGGTGGCAGTGTTGCTCCTGAATGGAGTACTGTTGAGGGGACAGCTCTGTGCTCTGTGGTCCCTCTCCATTAGCAGGTCTGGTGACCCAAGGACATGGGGACATGTTTCAGATGCAGATTTTATTATTATTTAGGTATGGCAAGGCCACAAGATCAGGAGATGACTGCTATTGAAAAGATAGTTTGTTAGATCCCAAGAGGAGGGGGGCACAGCACACCATGCAGGGCCAAATGGGGGGCACCAGTGTTAATCAGGAAGCAGAGGGAGTGAGGGGAAACATGGGCAAGAGCTTTTATTACGGCTTCCATGGAGAAGAATGGGCAAGACATTCTTCTCCAGGTTTAGGAGCAGGTTTAGGATTGTCTAGTTTTTAAAATAATTTTAACAGGCTCTGGGGTGTAGGGCCTGTCTTTTGTTGTCTGGTACCTGGCTGTGGGATTATAGGGCAGGTAAACTGTGGCCTGGAGAATGAGAACCAGATGGAGGAGGTGGTTGGGGATATGGACTTTGGATTGATTGGCTTGCATTTGAAAGGCACAGTCAAAAGCAGTTTGTTTACTATCTCTAGGAACTGGCTAACCCTGGGAGGGTCAATCCCTCCAGGGCCGACAAGGCCCCAAATGTCAGAGCATCAGAAACACAGGGTTGATACAGGGCATAGTTACAGCAGCTTCCATGTGTCCCTACCAGGTGAGACTTCACAGGATGTAACAGTTGTTTTAAAAGGAAAACACATGATAGAGCACTGAGAAGGCCTGAGTCCTCCTTGAACGCCTGTTTCCTTGTCTCTGAAAGAAGACAGTTTGACTGGATTCCTGTAAGGTGCCTTCCAGTTTTAATAGTTGGTGATCCATAAACAGACTACTTTGCTACACTTTGGGAGAATGTCTCATTGTGTTCTCAAAGATAAGATAAAAAATAAATAAATAATAAGAACAATAAAAAATATTTATTATTGAGTGTCTACTATGTACCTTGTAATTCTGTGATTTCCACCTTCTCTTAGTAGGTGTCAGGATTAATCTCACCTTGCCTTACATAAATACTTCATTTACTGACAGAAATCCAATCCTTCATTATCATCTGTCTTATTCAGCTTGGACTGCTATGATACTGCGATTTGTAATAAGACATATATATTGGATTGACCAAAAAGTTCATTCGGGTTTTTCCATAAGATGCATGGGAAAAAGCTGAGTGAACTTTTTGGCCAGCCCAATATTTGGTCTTCATCCCTGTTTCTGGCAAAAGCTCCTATAACCCTTGTATTTCCTAAGTGGTGAGAGCCATAAAGGTATCTTTTGTTATGTTAATGGTAACCTTTGGACCTCACCTATGGATGGGAGGTGGTTGCCAGAACAACCAACCATGTGATTAGAGGTTGAAACTTTCAGTCTTATTCCCCAGAACTCCAGGGAGGAGAGAGGGGCTGGGGATTGAATCAGTCTCCAGTGGCTGATGGTATAATCAGTCATACCTGTGTAATAAAGTCTCCATAAAACCCAATAAGATAGGGTTTCAGGAGCTCCCAGTTTGTGAATGTGTGGAGATTCAGAGGAGTGGTGCATTCAGAGAGGGTATAGAAGCTCCACATCCTTTCCCATACCTTGTCCTGTGCATCTCTTCCATCTGGCTGCTCCTGAGTTATATCCTTTTGTAATAAACCAATAATCTAATGAGTAAACAGGTTCTCTGAGTTCCGGGAGCCACTCCAGCAAATTAATCACATGCAAGGAGGAGGTCATTGGAACCTCTGTCCTATAGCTGGTCAGTCAGAGGCAAGGTGACAACCTGGACTAGTGTTTGAGTCTGAAGGGGGTGAGGCAGTCTTGTAGGACTGAGCCCTTAACCTGTGGAATCACCAGGTAAATAGTGTCAGAATTGAGTCAAGTTGTAGGACAGGCAGTTGGTGTTGAAGAATTGCTTGGTGGTGTGGGGTGCCCCCCTACCCACCCATAGGCATTGGAATTGGTATTAGGATCCTTGTAGCTGCCATAACAAAATACCACTGACTGAGTGACCTGAACAACACAAATTTATTTCTCACAATTCAAGAGGCTAAGAGGTCTAAGATCAAGATGCCAGTCAATTTGATTCCTGGTGAGAGCTCTCCTCCTAGCTTGCAGACAGCCGTCTTCTCACTGTGTCCTCACATGGCCTTTACTCAGTTCCTGTTTACAGATAGAGAAAGAGAGATCTCCCTCTTCCTCTTCTTATAAGGCCACTAATCCCTCATGGGGGCCCCACCCTGATGACCTCATCTAACCCTAATTACCTCCCCAAAGGCCTCAGCTCCAAATACCATCACAAATGGGGAGTTGGGGCTTCAACATATGAATCTGTGGGAGACACAGACATTCAGTCCATAGCATCATCTTAACTCTCATGCGCATTCAGCTCCTTATGCCCTGATCTTACTCAGTCCCACCCTTGACTTTGCAAAGCCCTCCCCTGTGCTCTTCCCCTGGACCTCAGGATCTTGCATCAGCAGAGTCCACTGTCCCTTAGTCTTCTCTCATCCTTTTTTTGCTCTAACTGAAACCCAGCTCTCTCCTGAGGATACTGCTTCCCTGCAGCCCTCCCAAGTAGGGCTGATTTTTCTCCTATATCCTTCTTACCACTGGGCCTAGAGGTAGATGAGATATTCTTGCTCTTCATTGCAGCTTCCATACCATTCCACCTGGTCCTCCCTCAAGATCTCCGGCTCCACTGGAGTGAATTCTATCAGACCGTACAACCTGCCACTTGTCCCTGCCACAGTCACCTGCCAAGCCCTTAGCCATTCCTCCCCTTCGTTGCAGGTCATGTCATCTGGCTCAGTCTCCCTTTCCCATCCTTCTGCTGATAATCATCCTCAGTGACTCAGCATCCACATGGAGCCTTCATTATACCTGCCTCTCATTTTCTTGACCTCTCTCTCCATTGCCCTTTCCTTCCGTCATACCTCTGCTACCTAATTCTGTGTTGTGCCCTCAGTGGCATGGAAGGAAAGATGAGCAAGTACTTGCTTCCCCTTCAAAATCTCAGGTTAAAGCGTTCCATTCTCTGACCACCACTTGGTGTCTTTCCAGCTCACTCACTTGGCAACAGTGCCATGCAAAGTTCTTCAGACCCATCAGGATTTCCAATCCATTGGTCCCAATGCTTTATCGGGATAGCTCAGTGTTTATCACCCTTGCTCCCCATTCCCGTTCCCACCTCATAAAACCCTGACTGTTTAAACTCAGTGCCCCACGCCTGCACCTGAGCAATTCATCCTTGATGAAGGAAAAACAAACCAGTCTTCTGACCAATCTCATATTAAATTTATGAACATAAATTTTTTAATGAACATTTTCATAGATTCTTCCCAACTCCCATAGACACTTTTTTCCTCTCTCCTTAAACCTCAAATATCCTCTCTGCCCTTATAGCCTTGCCTCTCATTTCACTGAAAAATTAGGACCAATCACAAGAGAGCTAGCTCACCTTTCACCAACAAATCTACCAACCTACCTGCATTTGAAGCCATACATTTCAACTACTACTCCTGTTACAGTGAATAAGCTGGTTTTCTAAGTCCAGCCTCTTTCTTCTCATCTACTCGAGAACTTACTTCCTTAAACATTCCCTATCAACAACACCATCTATTTTCATACATATTCCACAGCATGCAAATATATTGTCACATCTGGCATCTTAAAAAAAAAGAAAGGAACACAGTCCCAGGAGTCCTTCCAGCTACAGCATCATTTCTGTGTGCCCTCCTTCATAGCAAAATTCCTCAAAGGTTGTGTCTATACTTGATCCCTTTACTTCTTCATCTTCCATTCTGTCTCTACAAGAACTTTTATTATATAATGTAGCATAGGGGCTTCCCTGGTGGTGCAGTGGTTAAGAATCCGCCTGCCAACACAGGGGACATGGGTTTGAGCCCTGGTCCCGGAAAATCCCTCATGCCGCAGAACAACTAAGCCCGTGCGCCACAACTACTGAGCCTGCGCTCTAGAGCTCACGAGCCACAACTACTGAAGCCCACGTGCCTAGAGCT